TCCCTAATCCCTAAAAGGTCGGCAACGCACTCGGAACTCCTCCGTTGCGGGTGTCCATGGGGCGGCGCTGATTTCTTACCATCAGGTAATCCGCCTGCTCGTCTGCCGACCAATTACATAAAAAAAAAACTAGTCGGCATTTATGCCGTTATGCACTATGAAAGTGCACCCAAGTATAACCCCCAGTTTATGCAGGACTATTGTGTAATATGGTAAAGAATTATAATATATTGGGTTTGGTTAGCTATGGACTAGTAGAAATGATAACTATGGAAATACTGTGTATGCCCCTGCCCCTGTCCAATATTAATACATATGGGTAAACAGGCAGATTTTAAGGCTTTAATATTTATATATAATGATAGCTCTTCAAACAAAACAGTCAGGAATAAAGTTCAAGCAGGATTTACATAATCAGGCACCTAATCGACCGTACACGACATATTTTCATTATACCAAGCCTTTTCAGTCCAATAATAAACTGATATTGGCAACAACCACGCGAAAGTCAATTCTTATACGTTTAACGCATGTCCGACGAGCAACCACAGAGGCAGTCAGCTGTCAAAACTGTTAAACCTTAGAAAGTTATTCTATTTTCATCCCACATGACGTTGTTAAGCAAATATTCATCTCGTTCACGTTGCTTGCTATGATTTTAGGAATCGATAGAATGTATTTCAAAATTTAACCTTATTATTATTGAGACGTAATTTTTAATATTAATATACCTTCCTTTTTGAGTTATGCCTGTTTTCTATTAAGCATACATAAATATTTGACAGTGAAAAGGTCGACATTTCTAAGTCTAAGTAAATTTTGTAAAGGTTAAATCCTTGTTATTCGTCCGTTTGTAGCGATGACAGTAATGACAGGTGTCAATATTTTGTGGTAAGCTTTGAAACGTTGTATCGTCAGTCATTTGTTTACAGGTTCGATTGGTAAGTCTCTGATCTCGGATAATCGAATCAAGATAAAAGATATTTTGATTTCAGTGGCTTACAGGGTTGGTAGTCAATGTTCTCAAGTAGCGGGAGCTAGTAACTGCTTTAGACAAGCGACATATGACTCACAAAAATCATAGCGTATTTTAATGTTATCGATACTTTGAACCAACAACTACCTACATACTTGCGAAGGCAGACTGGAATTTCTTTATTAGTGGATTTTTGTCTGGATCTTCCACTACTACTTTTACCTTTCGTTTTTCCTACTTTGTGAATAAGGACCTAATTTTGATGCAAGAAATAAAAGGCTTTTTTTATATAACAACTGTTCTTATATCGTCATATATAAGGTCGTATTTCCTGATGCCTTCTGACACCATCTCAATGGGTGTTACTGGCTCCATAACAATTCTTACATAAACGCGTTGTATAAACAGACAATGCAACAGAAGCTATCAGTATAGTTTGCATCAGTATGCGGGGAATGCAAGACGGAAGACAGTAGTTAATAATGGTAGACTTCCCCCTACATTGTATACAGGATGGTTGTAATTGACACGTGAGATAAATTGCATCTAACGTGTGCAGGTGGACACTGATTGTCTGTGTATCGGTCTTAAACTATTGGCTTGTTGATTGCAGTAGATAAAAATCTTTTTTTTTTTAAGACATTTGTCCTTTGCCCAAAAGACTGTAGTAAAGGCATAACGTATCATAAATAAAATACTATTTATTTATTTACTTATTAAGGTTAGTTCATATACATAACATGAAAAAGTAGGTACATAGACAAACTTAATGCTATGTGGCATTGTCTACCAGTCTACCATTAAGTCAAGTAGATAAAAGTATCGATAAATATGTAACAATATAAGTCTATCTGTCGGAGGTACGACGTCACCGCGCACGCACGCTGCTCATGAATAAAGGTTCCGTAGTGGCTTGAAACTAGTAGAACCTTTCTCGTTAATGCAAGTTAATGAATTGTTGTTTTCAATAAATTAAATAAATAAGTCACGATTATAAGTAGCCGATTTTCATCCTCTATTAAGCAAAAGCCAAGAGTAAAGGACGGCGACTGCGTACGATCTTTTAACTTGTCCTTATCCAACTATTGAAAAATGTCATGTGACAAACGCTCCTTATACTTACATTTATAAAACACAAAATATTGTACTTTGAAAATTTATAGAATCAGGATATCAAACCTAAGTCTAATACCGCACGTCACTTAACTAATCGCTAATGTGGGTGTGTCAGAGTGTGTGTCAATGAACACGCATTAGTGTTCCTACGCACATGCCACTGAGAGCTCTAAGATGTCGCATGTTTGGTCATTTAATCGTTCATATACTATTGCTTACGAATTGAATTTCGTGTATGTATTATTTAATAATGGTAATTATACAAATCCCTTATCCCCAAAATACCGGTAACGCACTTGAAACTCCTTTGGTGTTGCGGGTATCCATGGGGTGATAGCTTGCAATTGTAATCAGAACAGTTGTTTACTGTCGATTTTTTTTTATAAAAAACATTTTTTTTATCAATATCCTTTCCTGAAGTTATCTCTACAACTGCACGTTACTGAACGTAAATTGGAACTCTTCGCATCAAATCACAAATCAAGAAAAATAATTATTATAAGTAATTATTTAACTGTATTAATATTATAATTTTATTGTTTCAGGTAATTAATTTCTTCTTTCTACTTTCGCAATGACCTATACTCTACAACTTTCTGCAGCTGAAATATGTAAGTAAGCAAGTATAAAAAAATGGGCAAGATTTATAAATCATTAAAAATTGGTAAACTATATTACTCACAAAAGGGCTATAACAATGGCTGAAAACAATTAAAAGGTTTTAACGCTTCTATTAAATCTATACAACTAAATGTAGGTAATTATTATGCATAAGCGTAAAAAAATCCTCAAACTCAAACTCATTTATTGCGAAAATGGGTAGTGACAACATGTGTAGTGACAACACAACATAAAAAACCTTAATCTTATTTATTAACTGCATCTGAAATAATGTACTAAAATATGTAGAAGCGCAATTATATGGCACATCAAATGATTTTTCTCGCCCAGACTAAGGTGCGACGGAGTGTCATCCTAAAAACATCCAACATCCTAAATTACACACCTATGATTTAAATCTAGTTAAGCATAAAAATTATTCGAAATTTAAATAATTTATTCGAAATTTCGATAGAATTTGTAAAACAATGGCAACATCATTTTAGCCGCTCACTTAAGCATGGGGAACTAATGTCTGTAGGTGGAGTACGTTGCACTCGAGTCGCCAAAAACCTTGACTTCTCACTCAAAATCATGTCAGTCATATAGCTCCATACATCTAGTCTACTTTGATCTCGTAGGCGGCATATAAACAAAGTTATGTACAACACAATTACGTACATACTCAACTTATCCAAGTTAGCACATCTCTTAATAAAACTTTATACCTTTGTAATAACGTTCAATATTGTTTACAGTCTGTACAATGCAGGTTCATACAATAGCCTCGTTAAAGTCACGAAGTCCTAAAAAATATTGTGTATAAAACAATTGCCAACCTATTTTTGTATGTATTTGAGAACTGTTGTTTGCTGTATGTTATTTTTTTATTACGTAATAATTTGTCCGAGTAATATGTTCTCAATTTAATTTATAATTCAATCTGCTAACCATCCAGATGTTTGGGGTAAAACGTTGACGCTGATATCTACTGTCGATTTATTAATCGGATAATAGAATCCATCATTTTATTGTTTGTAATGGCTTCCACGTCGGATTTTTGTGTACTTGCATAAAAACTCTTGTTATAAATAATACATTCAATTTATTACACAATGTAAATTGTAACATTCGTCAATACGGGTAAAATAGAAACCATTGTTTTAACAATTGCTTTAGCTTGTTGGTTTTAATTCAAAATTATGAGGAAATTATTTTGAAATAAAATTTGGTGTGAATTTTGATACGTAAGTTGTTAATATAGATATATGTACAAATAATCTTAAATCATTAGTCTCATAACTGTTATCTATCTATCATTATAATCTTTACAATATGATAATAAGTCCACTGCCGATTACAAAGGTTAAAAAAAGAATAAACAAAAAATGTTTAAGTATCCATTAAAAATATTTAAATTAATTGACCAATAATCACAAAAAAAAATCATCGACGATACGCCAGTTAGGTACCAGGTAAACATAATTCATTAGGAGATAAAATATATCTCTCATCCACTTTAACCTAGTTGTTGCAATATACAGGATCTCCTGCCTACTAACACTGTCTGATAATTAAGTACGCGAACCCATTAAATACTATAATAACGTCAAAGCGTCTAGGGATGGCATATTATATGAAACTGTATTATGCAATATAACACTGCGAATATTAAAAAAAAAAAAACGATTTTATTTTTTAAATTTTTTATTAGTGTTATCACTGAGTTTAGAATTGTGACCGCTATATAGATACTGGCTTACTTCGTGAGACCAATAGCAATCGTAACTAACGCAAGTAACTGGCAAAATAATAGAACTAAAATATTCAATAGTAATGCGTCAACAAATTACATTGTTAATCTAAAATTAAATATAATAAATACTTACCTTATTAAGAAAGGACAGAGATACAAAAAAAAACATAGCAATCACCAGGAACTCTAATAGAACAAAGGAAGTAAAAACCTTCTCCTTGACACGAGCCAATAAAGAAAGTAAGTAAATCAAAGCAAGATTTCTATTATTCCGTAATTATACACAAAGCTGATACCTTATGAATTAGTTCGCATTGTTTTAAATATTTCTATACGAAACCTAATTAGCTAATGACTGATATTTGTTTCAATTCAAATTGAAAAAAAAATAACAAAACAATTTATTTATCAAATATCAATATTGTTAAAATTAAAACAATGGTGGAAATTAAAATATAATGTTGCCTACACAAAAACAATTAAATTGAATATAGAATAGAAGAAACATTAATAACAAAACAATAATTAGTCAAAAGTTTTTTATTTTTGTTTTCTCCGAAGGCAAACGTCGTTCGTGAATGTTCGGTCAAGTCATAAAGATTTTTTCTGCCATTCTTGTGTGTAAATATAATCTGGCTCTTTCTTTAATAAGCAGATGTCTTGGGATGGCCCTAACATATGGGCATGACCAATGTTTGTTCCGGTCAGTTTAGCATTTGGGCTGCACTCGCTCATTGTTCTAAAAGTTCTAATAATAATAATTGAGTGTGGGTGCGAGCGACCGGAGTGATACCACGGCCTCATAGAATACCGGCGTGAAGCAACACTTTCGTTGTCTTTTGCCGAGTGAACTAGATGCCCAAATATTCTCTCCTCCTTCCTCCCTAATCAAAAATCCCCTACTAAAGATGATGTATTATTATGATGAGTTTGTAATTTAAAATGAGTTTATATTGACCTAGATTAAGATTGTAAGAGTGAAATGATATTTAAACAAAGCTATTAATCAAATAACGGTTCAATATTGTGGTAGCTCCCACCCCACTCACAGTACTACGTGGAATTAGCTCAGTGGTTTAGGAATCAATGCAGTTGTAGAGCTGTAAACTTCTGATAAATAATATTATTCCAATATGGCGATGCGGGAATTACACAGAAAATACTATAGACAATGGAATCTACTCTTTAGTTTTTCTCGCGACGGTCATAAGAACCGATCTTGAAGCAACGTGGCAAACATGGAGATTTTGGCATATCATAATTATTTGGTTGGTATGGAGGTCCATAAATAATCAATGCACAGTCACTGGCTATTTTAATTACCCTCTTTATTATGTATGTATTGGCAAAAAAATGTTTGTAACTAAAAAATACTACATACTTATAAACACTTCAGATGTATGAGTATTAATAAAAATAAAGTAAAATAAAATAAACACACTACAAACAATAACAACACTGCAATTATTTAATTGATTTCTCTTTGCGTTAATAAATGATAAATATCCTAACGAGCTGAAAGTGCCCTCAACATTGCCTGCTAATTGCCAACAACTAGCAATACTGCAACTAGGTAAGTGGTTGGAGAAAATTAAAAAGTATGCATTCAAGTTTTCTCTTCACTTAGAAAAAGAGAAAAATACTAAACATAATTATTTTATAAAAAATCTAAAATTACGTAACTAATGCAATGTAAACTTTATACTTTAGGTAATATGAATGAATCAAAGACGAATTACGATGACACGATTCTGAGTCTATCTGACATAAGCATTTGCTGACAATGAACTCGCCATTGGATATCGTCATCGAAAAAAACTTATAAAATTATTTTGTTATCTATATATTTGTGTATAACCGTGTCCTCGCTTCACTTTTCTACTATTTTTCTATATTTCAGTTCGAAAGACCTGCATTTTAAGTTTAAAATTGTTTGTACTGACTTCATTGTCAACTAGGCTGGTATCATGTGGGCGTTCGATTGCTTATCGCTTAATATATATTTTGCGTATATTGTATTAAATTTTATACAACGAAGGTTGAATTCAATGAATCTATCAGGTAAACAATATTAATGGATAAAACGTATAAGCGATAAACGTAGCGTAAGTTATTGAGGTTACACCACGAGTGGTTATGCTGAAAAGCTTTTCAATGTTACCAAAAATGACATCGTATTAAAACCACATAATTGTAATAATACATACCTATATACTTTACCACATATTTTGTATCCTTCTGGTTGAAAATATGATTTAACATTATCATTGTAATTGACAGGTTGTGAACAAAGGTCACTCAACGTAGTCATTTACACTAGCATTATATCAAGTTTAAAATTATAATTGTAATTCAATGACAAATCCATCGACGGTCTACGGTCCCGCTGCCCAATCAAATCCAGATCTGGGCGTATGTATTCCAATAGAACCGTTGTCCAGACTAGGTTACTCGCTGAGCAGAAGTTGTAACTTTTCTTATTATCCCACCGAGGGCAGGAGATTAACAAGATGGATAATTATTCCCATTACATATGTATTTAATAGTTTTATGAGAGGAAGCTTGAGGTTACTGGACCTCTAATGCTTCCCCTATTCCCAAAGTCTCCAAATCCCTAACCCCTTATACCCAAAAGGTTAGCAATGCCCTCGTAACTCTTCCGTTGTTGGGCACCCCCCATGACTGACGCTGATTGCTTACCATCAGGTAATCCGTATGCTAGTTTGTCATCGTATCTCTGAAGAAAAGGAAACTAAGAATCTAGCGTAGTACTTGTATCGTTTCTTGTTAGCGACTGAATTGAACTACAAATAGTCAGTCGCTTGTTAGCGCTTTGATTCATTAAATCTTTTATCTTACAGAACTGCTGCAGATTTGTAACATTATTATTTATTGAAAATAATATTTATTTAATGATTTCCCACATTTTACAAGCGTTTAGTATTTTGAGGATAATGTAATTGAATACTTGGTGAATGAATACTGTACAGGAGATTCATGAGGATAATGAAATTGAGTACTGGGCGATTCAAAGGAGATTCAAAGTCAAAGTCAAAATCGTTTATTCCAACTAAACCATGAATAGGTACTTTTGAAACGTCCAAATAGAATAGAAGTCTGTCATCAATCACCTAGCTTCAGTGACGAACGTCTGTTCGTCACTGAAGCTAGGTGATTGATCCAAATTGTAGATTCGAATGGAGAAGAACGAGCACGAAAAATAATTGTCATCAGACTTTATAGAAAACTATAAAGTCTGATGACAATTAAAAAAAAGTCATTAATGAAGTGACATAATGAAAGTTAACGATAGCGCCAACAAGAAAGTTTAATAGATCGATTAAAATATCAATTACACAGTAATCAGTTAAACGAAACAGTGAAACATTGAGCTGGCAGTTAGCTCAAAGTTTTCAAATCGAGCTAATTAACCTTGCTCTTATTTTAACTTTATGAAAGTATCTTAAATTGAGAGGAACTTACGAAACCTGTACTGTTTGAAATAAAACCATTCTCTTTTTTTAATGTTGGTTTCTTATCGATAAATGTTATTGGGAATTGTGACAATTTTACCACGTGTGTAAACGTATATGTATATTTGACTGTCGTGGTAGCCTGGAGGTTGAGGCACCCGTTTCTCATGCAGGAGGGTCATCATCATCATCATCAGCCTATAAGTGCCCACTGCTGAGCAAAGGCCTTTTCTCATACGGAGAAGGTTAGAGCATAAATCACCACGCTTGCTCAATGCGGGTTGGCGATTTCAAACATATAATTAGAAATTATAAGTCCAGGTTTCCTCACGATGTTTACCTTCACCGTATGTCAGTTAGTGGTGTCTAAATAATCATAGAAAGTACATATAACTCGGAAAGAGTCACGAAAAATTTCGAACCCACCCTCATGCATGTGAAGCGGGCTCGTTAACCTCCGGGCCACCCCGACATTATCCTATGCAGGAGGGTGCAGGTTCGAAAGCCTGCCAAGTAACTATTCGGACGGAAAGATTGCAGCCGGCTAACTGTTCCAATCCCTCGATGTACGCGGTATAAATGACGAGGCAAAACGCTTAGTCCGGGCCGCAGGTGTCTCAACAACGTAAGGGTGAATATATGCCGTACGCCGGTATTTCCGAAGGTGAAACGGGGATGGCGGAATCAAATCGTGCAATTTCTGCGAACACTTTTCAAAATGCATCCTGTAGAACACCGCAAAGCTGGCTACTCTGCTGCTGGTATACTGCCTCGTAGTGCGACTATTGCAACCGTCTACCAAGAGGACCTTGGTGCGCTTCCTAGGTCCCTAGAATTTCTATTAAAAGGCGCGACTTCACCTACTTACTTACCTTGCACTTGGGCTTAAATTGGTATTATGAATAATGACAGGTATGCCCCACAAAAATCACACAGAAATAAAATTAGTATCAATGTTTAATTTAACAGAAATAAAATTAGTATCAGTCTCGATAAAGCACGATTGAAATATTAATTATTACTACCTACCTACTATGTAATTATATATTTGATAACTATTTGTAATTGTGTGAACAAATAAAATCAATACTTTGTCAGAAAATGTAGGTACCTATCTGTTCTGTGGTATAACGTAAATAAGTGAGCAAAATTATACTCGAATGTATCATTACGATAATTTCTGTTGTTTTGTTGGCAATACAGTCATTAAGGTACATTGTTCTTTAGCAAACAATCTTTCCACAATAATAGGTCATATTAGTTACAAAATAGAGGCTTCAGTCGCTATATCTGATTGTAAAATCATCCTTATGTCGAATGCGTTATGATAGCTTTTGTATATTCGCTTTTGATTTTAAATTGGATGCAATTTTATTTTTAAGGGTGTTTTCGTATTATGCTTTTTACTGGATAATATTCTATAAGTACGTAGATTAATAATAGTTTATTTTAATAATAAACAGGCTTTAAATAAAAAAGGAATAATAATACACTCAAATTAAGAACCGTTCGTTTTGAAACTCGTTCACTCCGTTGGTTCACGAAATGAACTAAATTGTTTTAATTTATTGTTACACAAAAAATTTTCAACTTCACGTTTTTAAAATGGTTTTTCGATGGAATCGAAGTTAGCTGAATGAATAGTTTACTGAGCGGACCTAAGACCGACGTCTTACGAGGTTGAAATACAAGATTGTTTGTCTAACAACCGATTTCTGAAAGGCTTGTCAACGCTAAAATTTTCTAATCTTCTGTTAAATCTCTTGTCAAGTCATCTGATTGGTTGTTGATAATTCAGTCAACCAATCAGATGACTTGACAAGAGATTCAATGGATTTTAACATTGATCGGTCTTTCGGAAACCGGGTGTAAGTCAAAAAAGGCTAAATATTTTACTACCTCTATTTGATATTTAGTATATCTACAGCAAATGCGTACAAGTATTGTCTGCAAGACAGACAGAGCCATTATGTCGAAAATAATTTCGACACAATTCAACTAGATTCACGTAACAGAATAAGCAATAAAGCTCTGTATTAACTACTATAAACAGTTGTTGTGCAATTTTGGGAAAATAATAACTACAAGGTCAACTTCTTACGAATAAAAGCTAATACTCGCAGTTGAACTTTTGCTCACAATTCATGCATAAAATATATTATACTTACTTACTCGCTTTTCGCGCATGCCCCTTTCAAACACGTTGCGAAAATAAGAGAAAAAAACCG